GTGTGATCAGCGTGATTAACGCAAGACGGTTTATCCGTTGGTAGTGTAGAGGATCGTTTTCAGTTGGGTTTCCTGACTGAAATGATCAATAGTTATCTGACAGACTAAATATCTAATATTTATTATTAGCCTCAATAGGGTTTGATATGGAAAGTGGACTTGAAGGTTTTGGAACATCGAAGACAGTCTTTGGAAGAGAATTATTATAAGTAAATGGTTTGATGGTGATGTCCATAACTGTGCGATTGTGGACAAGAGTCCGTTCGGCTTCCGCCTTTGGAAGAGCATTTGGAATTCCAGAAATCTTGTCCTTAACAATTCCAAATGGGTGATTGGGAAAGGGGATAAGATCCGATTCTGTCAGGACACTTGGTGTGGTCAAACGAGTTTTCAAATCCAGTTTCCCCATATTTTTGCCATTGCTAGAGAGAAATCTATGCTCATTGAAAATGCCTATGGGGTTTCTACTCCTCTGACTTGGGATGTGGCTATTATTAGAAACTTGAAAGATTGGGAAGTGGTGGAATATGAAAATAAGCTTTGCCTTCTGTCTACTGTAAAAATTGGCACTGGGTATGATAAATTAAGCTGGAATTTATGCAAGAAAGGTTCCTTTTCTGTTAAGTCTCTGTACAGGTTTTTGGCAGACAGCAATGCTTCTACATCTGTCTTCCCCCATAAAATTATTTAGACCTCTCTTGCCCCACCCAGGATTTCTGTTTTTGCTTGGGAAGCAGCTATGGGTACTATTCTTACACTTGATAACCTCATGAAAAGAGGTTTTGTTCTGGCTAACTGGTGCATTATGTACAAACAGAATGCTGAATCATGTAACCATCTTCTCCTTTGGTACCTTTCACCTATGAGCTTTGGACAATGATTTACAAACTGTTCGACATTTCCTGGATTATCTCTGACTCTGTTAAAAGTGAGCTGCTCGCTTGGGAAGGCATCAAATTGAACAACAGATGGCATAGAGTTATTCCCTTTACAATTCTCTGGATTATTTAGAAGGAAAGAAACTATAGATTTTTGAAAGTAGAGAAACTAATCTTATTTCTATCAAGGATAAGTGGCTGCATCTTTTTGGCTCCATTGTTCTTGAACATAAGCTTGTTTGTTTTGATGATCTTGATTCTATTGTAGATATTCTCACATATCTGTAAATCCTTTTTTGTACATGGGTTACGCCCCCTTGGCGTCTCTTTAATATTATTGAATTATTTTTATCTCAAAATAAATAAATTACTATGGATTATAAGCTTCTGTATTACCCAAATGTTTCGACAAATTAAAAAGAAAAAATGGATCAGGTATCCTTTCCCTTTGTTTGGATCAATTGATATTCTTCAACTCCCATTTCCCTCCAGATGCAGTTATGTCGTTGTTCCTCCAAATTGGGGTTAAAGGCAAGGAAAATTTGTATTATAATTTACAGTTGTAAATACAAAATTTTTTTGGATTCCAGTTGTAAATACAATTACCCAACCCCCAACAAAATTCATCCACCTATTCTCCCTTTATTTCTCTAACCATCTATACTATTCCACCATCTTGTACTACCTTCTTCGTTCAATAAAAAATAAAGAGTGAAATTGATATCTATGACTAATCATATAATTTGCGGTTGTAAATACTACTTTTTTAAAATAAAATTTTCAAATACAATATTACCTCCCATCCTTTCAATTATTCCCTCTTATTTCTTATCTAGTTATTCGTAATATAATTCACAGTTCTAAAATTCAAAATGTAAATGATTGTTATTGATGTAGGACAAATTATGATTATTTAGTCTACTAGGAACGCGAGGAGGAAAACTTAGACCTCTGCGGTTGGAGTTTCTCAGGTATCAGCAAAATTCTTGAGCATTATAATTAAAGGATTGATTGCATTGCACGATCAAAAATTTTAAAAAAAAATCTCAAAGAAGTTTATTAAATAATTGACCTCTTCCTCAAAAATGATATTATATAGGTACTTATAATGCTTCCTAGGAATCCTTTCCAACAAACTAGAACAAGAAAAAAAATGAAAAAGTTACTAAATGTTTAGGTAGGTCAATATTTCATATGCAAGATAATTCTAATTCCTAGCCCATTTAGGAAACCTAAACCAAATCCCTGCCGAAACAACTATAGTTTGGAAATAAAAATAATTAGTGATTGCCATTTATTGGGATCCCCCTTCTCATCTTGAGGGTTTCATTCCCTCTAATCTCTATGGTGTTGGGAAGGTTGGGATGTTAAAATTTTATCGTGCAGGGCCCTCTTTCCTAGTTTATGACCGTTATAATTGAAGAGATTCTTGGAATATACTATAGATTTTCTTTTCTGTGGGCCAAGTCGCATTGGCTTTTAAGAGATTGTTCATTGTCTACTTTGCATAGATATTAGTTGGTTATCCTTTACCATTCTTGGCTGGTCTTCCTCACTTCTTTTTCTGTTTATTTTCGTTAGAAGGTTACTAATACTCTCTGCACTTTAACTCTCCTCTATAAAAAAAAGACTCCACAAATTTTTGTGTGAACAAATAGCACTAGTAAGTCTAAAGGTGACTTTTCTAGGTGAAATGAAGTGAAAGACCAATATAGCATGTCTGCTCAAGTACAGTGCTTTCCATTTTCACTATTTCTATTTTGATTTTATGAGAATAACAATCATAAAACTTCTAGAAAAAAAGCAAGTATGCATTCTAATGACTGAATTTTGAAAATTATGCACTTTCTGATAAAGAACGATAAAGAAATTACCAGTGAGTTGATCAGATTACCTTCTTTTTTGTTATTAAATAGTCAAAATCCATTAATGTGAGGTTAACCAATTCATTTGTTTCAGGAAGCCATGTGAGCTTCAATTTTGTAGTCTTGACAGATCCTTCAAGATGTAAGATCCCAGTCAGCTGGCTGATATTTCCATCCTGGTCCTTGATAATTTCTTTCACAATGGCATTCCCCCAATCCATTAAGGTTATTTCCTCATCTGCTGAGATGGATGCAGCATCAGCTTGGTCTATCCATATGCTCTTTGTGTATGTGGTTGCCTTCTCTCCAGCACCTTCACACTTCTTATGCTTTGGTATGATTCGAACAAATGGTTTATCAGGACCATTAGTTAGAGTTAACAAGACACACTTCTCTGTAATGACAGCTGTATGTCTGGGACACACGGGATCAATAATCTTCTTATTAATAGTCCAAAGTTTGTCCCATTCCATAAGATTCAGATTCTTTGATGCTCCCTGAAACAATAAGAATGAGAAATTAGCCCTCATAAAAGCAGTTGAAAACAAAATTTTACTAAGATGAAAATATGAAGAGATGTGATGCAGTAAACAAACAGAAATATAAAGTGGTTTTAAAGTTTATATTTTTCATTTGAGGGCTCTTCCCTATAAATCTCACAGGCAAAGTGATCATTCCATCCTTTCTTTTTTCCTTTCTTGAGAAAACAGTCTTAACACTTCTATCTCAATTCATGATAGTTCATATGCAACCTAAAAATACTACTGCCACAATCAAGGTACAGAAAGCATGCTTATGCATAGATGTCAAGAAAAAGGTCAAACTTGTAGCAATGTTTATGGCTGACAAATAAATGCCACTTGAACTGTCCAAGAGTAAGAAAATGGCTAGGCCAAGTTTGGATATTGTTATACCTGCTCAAGAATGAATTGTATTAATGCCTCAACTTTCAAACCTCTGCGTACAATCCCTTGGACTGTTGGGAAGCGAGGATCATCCCAACCATCAACTTTTCCGTTTTGAACAAACCAGAGAAGCTTACGCTTACTGAGAAGTGTGTAAACCATATTCAAGCGGCTGAATTCATAAATATATACTTTCTTTACTCTCATATCCTCTTGAATCCTGTGATATTGAGCATTTCGGTCATGATATTCACTAGACCGAAGAGCATGAGTGATCCCTTCCCTGGCATCAACAAATGGACAAGCAAAATCATATGTAGGATACAGCTTGTATTTTGAACCAATCCGATGGTGGGGAACAGGGTTGCAGCGATAATAGACTGGGTCTCGAAGAGATTTGTTTGGGTCTTGCATATCTAACTTCCCACGAACACAGCACTGCAAACCCCTTTCAGATCCCACAATCATTTCCTTCCATAATTTCAAATTCTCCTCTATGCTGCTGTTCCTACACTTCGACTCAATGCCATCCCATTTTTTCTTTTTGCATTTGTTCTCGTGGCGTGTCATCAATGTAAGCTTTTGCCTTGACGGATTAAATTTTTCAGCCATTTCCATCAGCTCAGGAAAGTAGTCTGAAGTGTATGTAACAACCTCATACTTGATACCTAAAGTCTCAATATCTTTCAAGAGATTCTCTACAAACTCATTGCTTTCTTTTGTAGGATTTGTATCATCAAACCGCACAATCAGTTGACCTTGGTAACGCTGAGCAAAATACTGGTTCAATAGTGCTGCTTTGGAATGCCCAATATGAAGAAAACCACTTGGCTCTGGTGCAAATCGCAAACGGACCTTTCCAATTTCAGCATCTGGAAGATCCACCTCAAATGATGGCCGGCTGCCTGTTTTCCCCTTCTCAGAAATACTCCCATGAACACTGAGATTGACATCTTGTTCCTCTTTTGATTTAACAGCAACTGGCTTTCCCAAGCCTTTCTTGCCTACATATTTCGCTAAAATTTCGTTCAAGGAATTGCTATTTTCTGTGTGTATTGAATTGAACCATCGTACCAGATTTGGGTACTTTTTTGATTTCCTCATGCTTTCCCATCTCAGCCCGGTTCCTGTAAGACAATATAAAGTAAACATAAACAACTTATTTTTTGAAATAAAATACAAAGTAAACAACTTGAACATTCACAATAGCATAGCCCCCCTCCTCCACTTCCACAAAGAAAAAGGAAAAGAAATGAAACATTCACAAACCCAGATCCACTTGAAACATTCGTCATGAATATACAGGCCCTGCCAGAAAAAGATAATTTGGAAAATCTTACGCATGGCAAAAGCCAAGGACTTTTGATGCAGAATGGGCAAGCATTAGATTTCCTAAATAAATTAGAAATTATGATTATGTTAAATATTTTAAACGTGATGTTTCAGGTTATTCAAGATCTTTCATTACCTATGAAGAGTTTTATAATTTCACTTATTGATCATATTCAATTATCCAATAATATTTTGAGAGTTTTTCAGTTTTCTGGTTGTTGTATGATGCAATCAAACCATTAAATATGATGCTTAAGACTTCTAAGATATGATACCTAAGAAACCCCTGATAATGGAGTAGGCACACTACCGACCCACATAAAAAATATCGTGCTTTTCTTTTCCTTTATTGTTCTTACTTCAATCTGTAAGCATTTTGTGGGTGATTAACACCAGTATGTGCAAGTATAGTTCAAAGTTGCACATCCACTGAAAGGACATAAATACATATCATAAGTTTCAAGTGCATGCGTAATTAAAAGGTAAGATTCATGTTAGTTACTTGTCATACACATATTCAGGTATTTGATCAATGGCTTCACTTATATTTGAGGAAAGAGGCAAGAGAGGGACCTTGAAGTTAAAGCTGGCTTCCTATTTGAAGGAGGAAATGACGTGGAGGCAGAAATCCAAGGAGAAATGACTTGAGGAGGGTGATCGCAACACAAAGTATTTCCAAACTTTGACTTCTCATAGGCATAGATGCGATTTCATTGAAGAGGTGTGGGTAGATAGTAAGAAAATCTGTGGTAATACTGAGTTGAGGGAGGCTGCCAGAAGCCATTTTTCAATGCTGTATGAGGAGGATCATGTTATTCGGCCCAAATTGGACGGTTTACCTTTTAGCAGCATTTCTGAAGGGCGCAGGCAGTTGTTGGAAGCTGAATTCACTGCAGATTAAGTGTTGAAAGGTCTGAAATCATGCAATGGCAACAAAGCACCAAGGCCCAATGGCTTCAACA